AGAGCCACAAGTCGCTTGCCTTCCAGGATCTGTGTGAGGAGAACAAAATTATTACTCTCTGTATGCCTCCTCACACCTCCCATATCCTACAGCCACTTGATGTGGGCTGTTTTGCCCCATTGAAACGAGCATATAAGACAGAAATTAATGTCTTAGCAAACAGCCACGTCACTTACATTGACAAGAAAGCATTCTTAGCTGCCTTTAATTAGGTGTTTAATAAGGCGTTTTTATCTAATAATATCTAATCAAGCTTCTGAGCAACAGGCTTGGTTCTAGACAACCTAGAGGTGGTGCTATTAAAGCTTGAAGTGAAGCCTCGTACGCCAACACCACCTTTACCAGGGCCTACTACCTGGCAACCTAGAACACTAAGCAACGCTGCTGAAATATTGGCTCAATTAACGCTGATATCTGACTGGATTAGGCAGCACCACAGTTCATCTCTAGCTTTAATTATTGAGATGGTGCAGCAGTTCAAAAAGGGAGCTGATATAATGGTGCATTCCCAGGTGCTTATGGCGGCTGAGATGGTTAAGCTTCAAGCAGCAAATAAAGCTGCTTCTGAGCGTAAAGCACGTAAAAGGAAGCAGATCTAGTATAGAGGAACCCTATCACAGCAAGAGGCAGAGGAAATAATAGCTGCACGAGAGGTGGTGGTGCAGGCAGAGGCAGAGAGGCGTGAGGAGAGGGTGCGAACAGGTGGTAGTAGAGAGGGTTCTCGACGCTGTGGGAGGTGTAGTCAGGCTGGGCACAATAAGCGCACATGTAAGCAAGATACTGTAGACAGAGTGGATTAATTTGACGTACTGTGAGCCACAGCACGACGTTGTGGTGTTGAGTTATCTGCGTGTCAAGGTGGGTGGCTGCATAAGGTGGCCGGCTCAATTGCCTGGCCGACTCAATGGCCGATTACGTTAGTATAGAAGGCCTAGATAGTAATAATAACTCTACCTTCTCTAGTAGTATTCTAAAGTTGTTGTTGTTAAGGCATGTTGTGTTAGGGTAAAAGGTGGTCGTGCTAAGAGAAAGTGGCTGGTTCGGTGATATGGCCGGCTCGGTGATAATCTACGTTAATAAGCTCTTGTGCTGGTGCACGCAATCACATATTAATGTGTCACGGAGCCTGTGGGACTATACTCAGGTGATCGAAAGTATTTGATCAGTGGCTATCTATCCTATCACGAAAGTAAGGTTTATATACATAGGAAATATGTGTGGATCACATGATCCGAGATAAGCGAGCAGTTGGCCGATTATCCGGTAGCTCGTCAACGAAGAACGGATGAAACGAGCTTCTGGTTTAGACCCAGAGGTGCTCGTCCCGGTTTATCCGGGCCGGCAAGCTCCACACCCTCAATTGAGGTGCTCGATTGTGTGACAGAGCGTTTGAGTACCAGCCCAGCTGCTCAATTGTCCTCTTGATATCCTTATAATAGTTGGTTCCGAGCCTCTGAAGTATCTGCTGACAGCGCTCATCCGTCAGAGTGTAAGGAGGGGTAGACGAGCCTCTGACTGTTGTCTGGAGAGCTCGACAGTCAGTTGGTTTCCACTTATGGGTGCGAGTTTTGTCCTTATTACAGGGGCACTTGTATCTCTCCTTGTTTTTAGAGCTGTTAGAGTTACCCTGAGGAGCGCTTTGAGCATCAGAGCAGTTGCTAAATGTTGCAAATACTCCTGGGTTGTCCTTCCCTGTTCTTATAGTATGCTCATGCATCAGTCTACTAAAGACCCTACTCACTTGGTCTAAAGTGAGCGTTTCGAGCCCCAGGATAGTGTCCTGGATGATCCTTTGGTGCATAGTACAAGCCCACTCTAGGGCGATTCAGTAGCTCAAGGCATCTAAGAAATCTTGAACAGCGAGCTCCCTATCAACCTCCGCAAGATCGTAGGCCTTGGCACTCATATAGAGGTATGACCACTTCTGGTACCAGTCATGAGGAGCGGCTCGTCCTTGTTTAGCCGCTCCAAGATGAGCTCGATATTCTGCTCTGACCTGATTCTTGGTACTAAGGGAGGTAGGAGCAAGCTCCTGCTTCAGGGCTCGGATGAGTGATTGTAGGGTGGTACTGTTGCTTGAAACGAGCCGTACTATCACTGGTGAGATGATCGCTGGGGCCACCGTAGCGTTGACCCAGTTCCAGAGCTTCTGAAGGCGCTCCGCCTTTGCTGCCCATTCGCTCGACCTGACCTTATACTTGGCGAGCTCCTGTGTGTATGCCTCGGGGCTCGTAGAGGCAGGCGTGCCTTGTAGGGTTCGAGGGTCGATCGGTTGGGTGGACTGACTACGGGTTGAGTGAGCCGGGGGTCTATTTTCGTAAGTAGAGCTGAAGGCCTGCTGTTCAGCAGCTCCAAACTCCACCCCCGAGCTCATGAGAGGTAGCTCAGGAGCTCCTTCGTGCATTCCTGGAGCGTCCGGAGCGTCTGGGTTGACTAGCTCCCACACATCTCTCAGTTTGGCGTGCCAGGTAAACTGGATGTACCAGTTGGGCCAGTCCGTTCTTGTTTTGAGTTGGAAGGTACCCATAGGGATGGCTGATTGAGCGTGTGAGCTTATAATTGACTAGCTCGCCCATGATAGCGTTGATGGTGTGTTCTGAATTTGGGTTTGATTAGAGCGGCTGAGCTTTGTCCGACAAGCTTGATTGGCTAAGTGCGCAGGGAGATCTACTGTTCTCAGGAAGCCGGGCTCATAACTGTCACAGAGCCTGTGGGACTATACTCAGGTGATCGAAAGTATTTGATTAGTGGCTATCTATCCTATCACGAAAGTAAGGTTTATATACATGGGAAATATGTGTGGATCACATGATCCGAGATAAGCGAGCAGTTGGCCGATTATCTGGTAGCTCGTCAACGAAGAATGGATGAAACGAGCTTCTGGTTTCGACCTAGAGGTGCTCGTCCCGGTTTATCCGGGCCGGCAAGCTCCACACCCTCAATTGAGGTGCTCGATTGTGTGACATAATGTTAATTAAGCCTTAAGCTCACGTACGTTGCTTGGTGTACAAGCCTCCTAGAGAGCCTCTGGCAGAGCAACTGTAGTAGGCGTACGCAGCTGCACATCAAGCTTTGATAGAACAACGCCTGCCTGGAGAGGAACAAAGCCTACGCCTCTAAACGCTGAGCAGATATTGTCTAGCGTAAACAATTGTGTAAAGGCTGCCTTAAACGCTAGTAGAAACTTAAGCTTAGTAATGTGGTTAATGTAGTGGCAGATTAGGCTCTTAACCTTACAGCTGTACGCGCGCTTTCATAGCAAGAAGCAGCCAATATTAGGAGGCTAAAGTAGATAAGATAAGTAAGGCAGCATGTAGAGTGTGTAGATATTGTTTTCCTTGCAGAGCTCTTAAAACTTAAGAGAGTAGTAGCTCTTATAGCTATTAAGGATAAGCAGGTAATGCGCACTAATAATATAAGTCTTTATATAAGTGTTAAAGTGCTTTAGCTACTCTACTCCTAGCTTATTACTTATCTAGCTATTTTTGCTAACTACAATCACCTAGTTGTGTAGGATCTCTGCTTCCTTGTACTAGGCAGATAGATAATACTAGCCAGCAAAGATAAGGAACAGTAGTACTGACTAGCTAGCAGCGTTAATTACAGAATTAACGTCACCTACTTATAATTGCCTAGCTAAATAGCCTTTAGCTGACCTCTCCTCTCTAACCCTGTTACAACAAGCTAAGTTGTAATCTTGCCTATTATAAAGCCTGCCTTATTAAAGTTGTAGACGTTATTATTACATATGCTGTACCTAGCCTTTGTTTGCTCTATAAGCTTAAACTACTAACTAATTAGGGCTAGATCCTTGCATAGAGCTCTCTGTCTATTGTACGCTAAATTGAAACGCGTTGTGAGACTGTCTGTACGCTTGGCAAAGGTAGATAGCCAGTTAACTCCTACGCGTCCTCTGCCGCGCGCAGCGAGTAGCTTATCAGCTATATCACGTACAGCTGCGTACGTAGGCGCAAATCCACATTGGTCTAGATCCAATATATGGCGGATAATCACCTGCTCCTCTGGCTCAGTGAGCTTCTTTGAGTTGGGCTGGCAATTGCGTTGGGCAGGTATACCAGCGCGTTGGCGGCAGATTGTTCGTTCAGACACGCTTAAGATAGTAGCAGCCCTGCGATTGCTCTGTATTTAATTGGAACTGATAGAGGAGATAGCAAGCTGAACGTCTGCTTCATTTGAAGCTAATAGAGTAGCGCTGCGTTGAGCCATTGTACGTTGAGATGAGAGAGGTGCGCAAGTTTGGTGGGGTGCGGCGCTCGCCCGTGTGCGGCGCTCGCCTGTGGAATACGTTAGTAGATATAGCTAATAAGATACTTAGTGTGTGTAGTAAAGAGCCTGTTAGTAAACTATAGGCTAGCAGGCTTATAACATGTTTAGACAAGCTTAAAATAGCCTTTAATTAAGCTAAGGATAGACAGAGGAAACTACAGGAAGATCCTACAATAATTAGCATATAGTTTAAGCTAGTAGAGGATACTAAAGTTAAGTAAAGTATTTATAATAATAATATAAACAACTTTATTAAACTAGGTTCTAGATAGGCGTTGCTTTGTCTTTAAAGGTTGTCACAGGCTTAGAGAGACGAGCTTAGCTAGAGCTCGTTCAGCCAGGCAATCGCGAGTAGGTTACTGTTGTAACAACGCAGGCAAGAAGAGAGATATCCAGAATAGGTGTGAATCCACTACAAGGCATATAGGAGTGCTAGGATAATAAAAACAATAGGATATATTCTCTACACCTATAGGTCTTGTATTAAAAGATATAGAAAAACTACTCTACAATGCTACAGTTCCTTGCTCCTTATATATAAGGGTTTAGAGGTGTAAAGTTATAAGACTTTGTTCTTATAATCTTTCTCTAGCGTATTTCCTTCTTAGGTATAGCGCTATGCTTACCTAAGCATTGCTATTGTAATCTC